TATATATATATATATATATATATATATATATATATATGATTCATTCAAAAGTTTTCACTACTGACCGAGCAAATGAATATACGACCACGGCAAAGTAGGATTGTCAAACTGATGACAACAAAATCAGGAGATAAAAAAGAAATAAAAAAAAATATAATACTCACCAAGAGCTGGTGAATGAAAATCGTGGAATCTATAATATTCTTCCAATGGTAACAATTTCTGTTTGTAGATCTTTCGTAACCCATCGCTAACAGTTTCGAGGACCTGTTTGAGATGTTTATTAAATTTGGGTCGCATGGTACTATTAATAGTAGTGGCAGTATTATCAGTAGTGGAAGTTCTAAAAGCTGGCATATGGTAGCACAAACTGTATTTTGCAGCAATATCTCGCTCATTCACTCACAAGTAAATATTTTCACCGATACTTGGAGAGGAGAGAAAAAGGGTTGAATTCGATAATCCAAAAATGGCTGTACAACCTGGTTGTACAAATGGCTGTACAATCTCGACCTATTCCTCTCTGCTCTTTCATACACTGTTTCCCCTCCTCTTCATCCTTCTTACCATTTAAAACAAGTACAGGTGGACGACGAGAAATTCCTTTTTTTTTTCCGTTCCAAAAAATTAGAATGTTGCAGCTGTGCGTCAATTTGTGAACATTACTAACAAGAAAGTCTATTAACACACATCTGCAACGAGTTTTTCCTTTATGTGCTATTTTCTGCTTCCATCCCGTCACTTTATCATGCTAAAATTTCCATCAGATTATAAAAACTAGTGAGTTTGATATGCATGCTAAGAATCATGTCGTGATATTCCATTGGGAAGTATTCTACATAAATTGGTGTATATCAAGCAAAATTTACAGAAGAGAATCAAATATTGTACCTATCAATGAAATAAAACTAGGAAGTAGAGCACAAGAGTGAGAGAAAATGAAATTTCGTCACAAGCACAAATGCCGATTAAAATTTTCTGACGGTGGCTGTCTTTATTTAACGATATGAGCAGAAATAGAAAAATTTTAATTTTATAAATATGTCTTAATGAAAAAAAAAAAAAAAAATGAAAATTATCTTCAATGTAAATTATACGCCACTTTTATTTGTTATTTCCGACAATTGATACAGACTGATAAAAAATACAACAGATTACCCTCTACAATAAATTCAGAAAAATTCATTTTAAGAAGTGGAGAAGATAAGAAAAAGATTCAAAACACTCCTCGAACAACATTACCTCCAACATAAATTATTGTTGAGAGCAATCACAGTCACTAAATAATTTTGGGAACAAAAACTTTTACACCAACAAAATCGGAGGGAATAATAATATTTCCTTCTTTTCTAAAATCCTTTTTATCTTAATCTAAGAATTGTAGAACATGATAACAAATTTGAAGAATAAATACTTAAACATTTAATGCTAACCTCTTGTTGCTTCTTTTTAGACGAATCACCGCCAATCCACGAAAACATCTTCCGTGGTCGAATGCGCCCTGCTAAAGCACTACCTGAAAAAAAATTTTCTTATTTTCAAGGTTTCTTTATAAGTAATTACTCACTTTTTTCAACGAATAAATGATGTGAAAACAAATACCGCTTTGGTAAAAGTTTTGCAAAAGATAAAGAACACAAGAACTGATTGCATGAATCACGAAACAAAGTGTTGAGAAATGACTCAGCATTGAAAAAATTCATTTGATAAGTCAATCAACCACTTAACTTATTTCTCACAACAAAAATGTTCAATATTCGGGGAAATCTCGAAGTTCAAAATTTCGAAGTTACAAGTATTTGCTCCTAATATTTAACAAAAATTTATGAAAATTCAGTGCGGAACTTCTCCATGATAATTTTCAACCGTTAATATCACATTTTCAATCATTTGTCAATATAAACGAACTATCAGAATGTTTGACCTCTTATCATAATTTGGATTCCTATCTTGCGTAAATATACATCCTACGTATGCTAGCTCAAAATCCAATTCATTTACAATGAATCTGTGTAACTAATTAGCAATTATAGAAGGGGAAGTAAATGAAATACTGTTAGTATTTGAAATTTGTAGTTAAATCCATGAAAGATTCGTATAAAATTAATGAATTTCCTATGACTACTGAGTAAACGAAAAGTTAACTTACAATTAAATGATCAACGTTTTTAATTGACTAAATAATCGGAAGCTTAGTAGAATAGGTTAGTTAAGCGGTTAATACTGTATGCATTTCTTTTACACGAAATTCATTTCCAAATGTGATCTCACGCATTCGGTCAAGCAAAGATAATACATTCAAGTTTTATTCGTATTTTGGAAAAGTATGAGAATGAATAAAAATTGAAGAGCGAAATTTCTGAAACATAAAGTATTTTACTAAAGCGTAGTGGAGTTAGCCTAACGGAAATTTATCCATTTATACTACTAATGTTAATTATTTGGGGGAATAAAGACTCAGAGTCAGCACACTTTTTAGGTGGAATGAAATATTTAATTGAAAACATAATTCACTTCAAGTACAACTAATATCACTTCACTAAAGGTTTTCTAACCCTTTGGGTAATTTTATAGTAGCACATTATAGCTTTTTAAAAAATTCTGGAAATTAATAATAAGCAATCTGAGATCAAAAACTGGTTATGCCAGAAGAATTCTAAAAAGTCCCAAAATTATTAGATAAAATTCCGAAAGTTGGAGATGATATGAGTAGTGTCATATTTTAGAGCAATTGAAAATATCAATACTTGCTGAGCCATATCTTCGAAATAAATTTTATTGAAAAACATTTTCTCTATCTACGAAATATAAGCATCTACATAGATGAATAAATAATATATGAAGCATTCATTAAACAAAAAGGATGAGTCATCCAATAACTATCACTGCTTAAGATGAAAGAAACGCAAATTTTCGGAATAACTCACTGCAAATCCTGAGAATTTACAGCACCAATCCAGGCGGTAAGAATGGAAAATTGCCGCATCCGAAACAGGACACAAGCAATGAGTTATGAAAATCTCAACCAACCAAAACTTATTACGACTGTGTATCGCTACTATATAAAGGTGATACGTAGTGAAATGCAGACGGAAAGGGAAGGTTAAAGTGGTAAAATGTTATTACAAACAAATAGTGAAAAAAATAATTAATCAAGCCATCAGCATAGAAGCCTCATCTTTCACAGTAGTACTTTTTTTCCCCAAGATTAAGGGGAAAAAAGGTGTTTGTTCACAATTTAATTATTCGTTACAACTGATGATTCGTATGTAACATTTTAGGTTGAGTTCGAAAAAAACAGCGAAAGATCAAAGACAGCAAAATGAATATTTGAAAACGAACAAAATTAAGGAATTGAAAGTAATAAGAAATTGAAATTGAAATTCTCCACATTATATTAGATAAATACAAATGAAAGAGAAGCAAACAACCGGACGGATAGATATTGATAACCGGAAGGAGAGATAACAAGTAACCGAATGGGTTCGATCCGGTTCGACTGCACAATTCATTCAATCCCGTCATACTCCTACCCCCAAAACTTAAAAACGTCTCCGGAATAAGCCAAAACATACGGAAACAAGCGAAAGACTCGCCAGTCAAAGTATTGTAATGTAACCAATGGATTGAAACCAAAACCGAACATTGTCACACAAAGATGTCGCAAAGCAATTTACTCGTCTACGACAGTTTCAAATTGAAGAAGTCTCGGGAGTGCTCTCCCGAGACTTCTTCAGTGAACAAATAGCTGGTAGATGCAATACTATGAGTGTTTTCTAGGATAACCAGGAAATGACACAGTATAAAATAGAATTGACCAGACAATGAGAAACCAAAGAAGAGCATTAAAGGATTCAATTGAAATTAGAAAGATTTACAGCTTATGATGATACATTTAAAGTTGAAAGCAAAAAAAAAGATTGTTAAATTGAATGGAATAAGGAAATTGGCATAGTGAACGGAAAAAGACTGAGAAAATGAGAGAAGATGCATGCTTGCTAGTGTTAGCAGAGATTGAGAGCATATCAATGTACTCACTACTTTCCAGTGGTTTTTCCTGACTGCTTGTGCAGAAATGCATAAGTAATGTGAACTTTGCCGTGTAAATTTGCAAAATTTAGAAATTTAGAGGAAAAAATGAAGTGTTTTAGAATTTAAAAATTCAGAAAAATTATTTTAAAACTAAAAAAAATTAAAAATTTTAAAAAATTTAAGAATGCTTTAAAATTTTAAAATTAGTACGATAAATTTTGAATTTATCGTACTAATTTTAATACAGTATATTTAGCGTAGTAATCATATGTAAGTAAAATAGTTTGTATTTAATTCTGAGAAACAGAAAGCGAACAAAAGAAATTTCAAAAATCTATAAATCGAATCAAATTAAATGATAATTAATAAGAGGACTACAATTAATTAATTATAAGCAGTACAAGTTAATTTAATCAAAAAATGATTGTTTTTAGGACAATTTTATGATTAATTTCTAATCATATACAATTTTATTGTTGAAAAAAGTGAAAGTACAAGATAAAAATACGTTGCGTCAAATTACGTCTTACGTCAAATTACGTCTATTTTCATCATTTAACATTTTCTTGTTAAAACAATCAACAAATGAACCATACAATTTCATTATTAATAGATAATCTATAAATGATATGATACAATTTCTATATAATTCTGTTATTTATATTCCTTTACGTAAACAACAAAATGTAATTTATTATAAACAATATGAAATATGAAGCATTTATATACTATAAATTTTTTAATAGCAAATAAAAATATTTAAATATATAATTCGAAATTCTTTTTCTTTTAAATTAATAAAATTTAAAATATTTGAACATAACAAATAATATGAGGAAAATAATTTGAAAAAGAAATTTGTTAAAAGATTAAATAATTGTAATAACTGTGTAAATAATTTAGGCAAATACCACATTAACCTAATATTAAAAATAATCAAATTTTAATCATTTCATTTCTTTATATCTTTCATTACTTTTACTTCTTTTTCATTATAAATTTTACAATTTATAATGAAAAAAATTTAATTTCATAAAATTTAAAATATTTTAACTTTTTAAATGTATAATTTGTTAAGAAAAAAAGAAAAAGAAAAATTTTAACAACATAAAAGAGTCAATTTGAGAAATACCAAACGATAATAATACTAAATCTTTAGAACAAATTAATTTGTTTACTATTTAATCGATCCATCGATCGATTAAATAGACAAATAGAATGATTTAAAATTGTTAGAAAAATTGAAAGAGTTAGGACAAATAGAACTTTCACGAATATCCATTGTTAACATTATTCCTTCCTCAATTCTCTTTTTTTTTTTTTTTTTTTTTTCCTTTAAATATATTCATCACGAATTTTGATGTAAAATAGATTTATGAATAATCACATCGCATATTATTAATGTGATTAAAAAATGTGTAAAGAATTAATTTTTCTTTTTTTTAAAAGACTATTATAATAGTTGTAAGATATGGTTGAGAAGGTATGAAACAATTTTGAAGAGTGTAAACTTTAAAATGGATAAAGATAGAGCTGGTGCAGTAAATTTGATAATTCGAGAACGACAATATAGTGATAATGATAACACTATCAGG